CAAGTAGTTATTTATTTTTATTTTGTTGCTTTTCTTCACCATTCTAAAGTTTTCTGAAATAAAGACTATATGAGCTCCAGAAGTGTCTTGTCTGCTCCTCCATGAAAGCAATGTCTCATTTTACATCACAACCCTGGCTGCCTGTTCCTGCATGATTGTACCAAGTCTGGAAATAAGGTGAAATTGCTCCATAGGTAACCCACTGCTACCACTCTCCACCTGTCTCTGGTGTCCTTCAGAGTGAAGGTTTGGGTGTCTCCAGCGTGGCTTTGCCATTTCATTTCTAAGTTTGGCAAATGCAAATGGGAGTAGGTGGGCAGGACCTTTTCAAGAGTAACCCTCCCTGACAGTGCTATACTGTAGATGCACCCTTAGGCTAAGTACAGACAGTCAAAAAGCCTGAGGTTGAATCAATTCAATCTTTGCAGGTTAGTCGAAGCTGCATAGTTTGAACTGATAAGCAAGTGAACAAGTATTCACTTTTGATTCCACAAATGTCGCCACATGCCTTCAGTGGCGCAGGCCAGAAGTTGGGAGGTGCTAGAGTATAGGTGCTTACCCTCCCACCCTGTGTGGGGGCATTTGTGGAGGAGGTGCAAAGCTGGGGGACTGTGAGTTAACTTGAATCTGAAGGGGTTCTGGGACAGAAGTTCAATGAACCATCTTAACCTAAATCAGTTCAGTCTGATACTACATCCATCCAGGTTTATCTTTAAACAGTTTCAGCCATTTTATGTGCACTGAACTTTTGTCGTGTTACAGGTTTGTACCAGTTTCCGATCACTTATACCAGTTTGTGTGTAATTTCTAGATCATTGAGCCAGACTTTCCATTGCTCACTCTCCTTCTGGTTCTATCAATCTTATGTTCACTTCTGCACAACATAGTTTCAACAAAGATGGAAGATGCAGCCCACATAGAATAACTTCTAGTCTTCTGTTTAGAATATTTTTTTTTCTTGGGAGGTAGTAATGCCTTCATGTTCACAGATGAAAATGAGATTAAAACCCAGGTCCTATTTTCTGGGCATGTGTTCTAACCACCAAGGTATTATACAAAGGCAAATGTCATCTTCACTGGCTGGAAAAAAAACACTGCACCTATTTTGTGTAAATGACAGGCCTGATCTCCTCAATGCATATTAGATGTACTCAGAATATGCTGGCACAATCTGGCCCCTCAGGGAATGGAGGCACAGCTTTGCTAGTTTTTAGATCCCAGTATGGTGTAGTGAAGAGCTAGATAATTAGCCTCTCAGACCAGAATGTGCTCACTACTGCACTGCAGGCACCTAGGGAAATTGCTGCATCAACAGGGATGGGCCTTTTGAGTTCCAGCATTTCAGTATTAGGCTACATATTTCCAGAGTTAGGCAGCTACTCACTAGGGCTAAATACAGACAGTCAGAAAGCTCAAGGCTAATCGATTCAGTCTTCCCAGGTTAGTCTAAGCTACACAGATTAAATTGCAACACAAGTGAACAGACATTTACCTTTGATTCAGGAAATGCAACCACGTGCCTGCAGTAAAGAAGCCAGAGGAAAGCTAGAGCACAGCTCTCTGACTGCATTCACTTTCTCTTCCTGCTGCCTTTGAGGTCTCTGAGATTTGCACTCCAGAATTACAGTAGCAGGACTCTGTAGGCAGGGTTGCTCATCACTTCCTCTTCCTGCTTCCAGGTACATCTGGGATTTGTAAAGCATAGTTACAGCCAGCAGTAAGTTTGAGCAGGGGAAGAGGTGTTTAACTTCCCTCCCTGGTGCCAGACCCCAGCAGGGGTTTGCTTGCAGGATGGTGGGGCAGTACCCCCTGTAAACTAGGCTGCCTCCCCAGCTGGGCTTGTCCCTCCCACCACCTTGTCAGCCAGCCTTCACTGCTCCAGGTAGGGAGTGGGGGGTGGGGAGGGGGGGAGACAGACAGCCAAGCCCAGAGCTGGAAAGCATACTGGGATTCTGGGGGACTGTGATTTAACTTGAACCAGGACGGGATCTGGGATGGAAGTTTCATGAACCAGTTTGACTCAAATCAGTTATGTCTGATACTACATTAAACCAGGTTTATCTTAAACCAGCTTCAGCCATCTTGAAACAGGTTTATGTGCACTAAACTTCTGTTCAGTTAATCCAACGGGTGTCAACTGGGGTAAGCATACCCCTGGGGGTACTTTGAAAGGTCCCAGGGGGTATGCAGGGGTGGGCATACACACTCAAGCTTGGATTTCTAATGGAATCAAATGATGTTTTCCATTTGTGGGGGAGGGGAGGGTAGTGGGGGGGGCAAGGGGGAGAGTATACAACAGTTTTGCATAAATTTTATATCTACCTATTGTATACATACAGTATTATCTCCTAACATGTATTTCTTAACTAATTCCATCAGAAAATATCCTTTAAGTGTGTTTTATTTCAAGTTTAATAGAAATAAGATAATAGAGAAGATAGTAAAAAATTACCTTTAAGATAATCAGTGAGCTAATAGAAAGTTTTTAGGGTACCCTACTCTAGAATGCAAAAGCACTTGCCAAAGCGTCACTTTGTATTTATCCCTTCCCTAACGCAATTGATTTAAACAGAGGTGTACACAATTAGACTCATAGAGAATGATTCTTAGTTATTCTGAGGCCATTTCACACTGTTGGCACTGTAATGGGACCTAAATTACATTTACACTCTCATTAAGGCCATTTATGCTGCCACAGCAATAGAAATTAGCTTTTATCTTAAATAAGAATCAGGTCTGTAAGATCTGAGTGCATTCATTGAGCTAACGAGGAAGAAATTGTACCACGTTTCTTTTTTTTTTCAGATGAAATAATACGTTTCTTCCATCCCATAAAATACTTCACCTTTTTCTTTGCTAAAACTTTGCAAGCCCATGTAAAACTCCAAGAACTCTCTCCATTGTGTATAGTGTTTTGACTAGCCAAACAATTACAATTGTTTGACCAGGAAAATAATTTTGTTTGCTAATGCATGCTAATTGCATTTTCAATGAAAATCACAGTTATAAGTGAATAAGAGATTTTCTTGTAATACAGATGAACACAGATAATGCTTATTTGTTTCACTCCCAGGATACCTGTGCTGAAGACACTGAATAAGGCTACTAGACACTACTGCAGTTTAATCGCAATAGGTCACTGCATACTGGACGCATCTACACATTCATCAGTGTGCTTTTACATGACGCTTTAATGTGCAGTAAAACAGACTACTGCACATTTAAGTGCATATTAGATACAGCCACTGAGTCTAATTTTAAAGGGTCCTCAAATTGACCTTGACTTCTATAGTCAAAACGTGGTACATGTAGATATTTGCATGTACATTTTTTAGCACAGTAAGCGCATGCTTATATGAATGTTAGAATGTATGAAGTTCTCCTGAAGACCCTATAATCTTCCTCCTCTCCTTCCTTCCTGAAGAAGGGAGCTCAAACAGGGCTTGTGCTTGGTAGGGCTGCACAAAATTCTGCCAGCTGTTTCATTTCGATGCTGCTTCGACTCATTTCGAGCTCAAAACAACAAAATCAAAATGAAACAAAATGGAGGGCTTCAAAACAGCCGCAAAACTAAATGACGGTAGTCGAAATGTTTTGAAAGTTTCAGAACATTTTAAGTTCGAAAGCTGAAGCTGGGCTTGCCTGCAGAGAAACAGAAAGTAAGGAGAGGGAGGGAGAAAAGGGGGGAAGGACTGCTCTGAGATGGGCTGTGACTGTTTGGCTGCCTGAGACGGTGCTGGTGCTACTGTCCTGCTTACTAAGTTATTATCTGTTGTCATTTAAAGTGGCAGACCAGACTGAGGCTTTAGGGGAGGAGGAGGCCTCATTTGGGCACACTGCCTTGTTGTGTAGAGGCCCCAGTGCCTGTGAGGGCACGCCTTAACCTACACACACAGTCACATGTCACAAGTTTTGCTTATCAGCAGCTTGAGGTGCAGTGTCCCAGAATCCCCTGCACCTATCTCTTTGAAACCTGGCAGGCTTCATGGCCTCAGCAGCGGCTGCCATGCCTGCAGTTTTCACTCTTCTGTGCCTTCACACTTACAAGTGACACAAGTTTTGCTTTCAAGACTTTGAGCTGCAGTTTCCCAGAAACTCCTACACCTATCTCCTTGAAACCTGGCAGGCTTCATGCCCTCAGAAGGGTCTACTATTCCCACTGTCTTCATCCAAATCTGCCCCAAAATGACAAAGTTATAGGCAGTTTCATGCTTCCCCATTATAGCCTATGGGCAAAACGTCGAAACGGTGTCGGAACAGCGAAACAGTTTCGACAGAATGGAACAGTGCTTTCAAAATGAAACAAAACTTGAAATGAAACATTGTCCCATTGAAGCGGCGAAATGGAAGTCAAAATGAAATGGTGGTTTCGCACAGCCCTAGCTTACTACCAGTGGAAACCTACATGTAAAAAGATGCTTCGTTCTCAGGATCTACCTTATATTGTATTTATGTTCTTCTAAAAATGTATTTTTTTGTATGAGTCACATTTGTAATTCATCCCAATTGACAATTCTACTATGATAGTGGAAATAAGGGTGGACAGGCTAAGTGAGGTACTGTAAGGAACAACTAGAATTTTTATACAAAACTTTCTGAAATGCAATTTTTTAATGTAAATGTTTTCTCTTTTTTAAATAGTGTACTTTTCTATACATCCATGCTAAAGTTTGCTTCAATAGAAAGCACTTGAACAAAGCCTGTTGAAATTGACAGACAGTTTTCCATTAAAATTGGTTGGTTTTGCTTCAGATCCTAGACATAAAAATGACATTTATTTCCCAACTTGACGTCTCAAGCTATTTTGCTGTTTTTGGTAAAGTTCTGATAAGTATCCAAACATTTGTATGCATTGCCTCTCATCTGATTTTCCCCATCATCCATCCCTGGAGAAACCAGTGCTAGCAGATTCTGGCATGTGACCCTTGCCACTTAGAAATGTTGATGGGAACAGGACCGATAGTTATTAGCATTAACATTTTTTCCTACTTGTTTTGCAGTTCAACAATAATGCGCAGAACGTCAGTTGCTTTAATCATCTCGTCCAAGCTAATGTGAGAAATAAGAAGAAGCTGAAAGAGGCGGTCTATAAAATCTTAGCTAAAGGAATCACTGATTATAAAAAAGGTTTTAGCTATGCTTTTGAACAGCTGCTAAATGTAAGTATTGCAAAATTATCCCTCAGTACTGTTAAACGCTTGAGCTGTACTCATAGAGCTGCAATGTCCAGATGGTTACTTTGAATGATCTGCTCCTAGTGACATTGATGCATTTTATGATGAAGTCATTTAGCAATGAAATGTATCCCAGCAAACTAGTTTGTCTTAGCAGAGATCCCCTTAGCTTGATTTGTTAAGATTTGTGATGGGAAAACTTGTTTGTGGCTGTGATTTACCATTTTTCCCCCACCTTTTTGGTCTTTTTTCATAGTTTCATAGTTTGTAGGGTCGGAAGGGACCTGAGGAGATCATCAAGTCCAACCCCCTGCCATGGCAGGAAAGAGTACTGGGGTCAAATGACACCAGCAAGGTGTTCATCTAGCCTCCTCTTAAAGACCCCCAGGGTAGGAGCCAGCACCACTTCTCTTGGAAGTTGGTTCCAGATCCTAGCCACCCTGACCGTGAAGTAGCGCCTTCTGATATCTAGCCTAAACCTACCCTCTGCCAGCTTGTGACTGTTATTCCTAGTCACTCCTGGCGGTGCTCGGGGGAACAGGGACTCCCTCAATGCCTGCTGATCCCCCCTGACTAGTTTGTAACAGGCCACTAGATCCCCCCCTCAGCCTTCTCTTCTGGAGGCTGAACAGGTTCAGGTCCCGTAGCCTCTCCTCGTAGGGCCTGCCCTGCTGCCCCCTGATCATGCGAGTGGCCCTCCTCTGGACCCTCTCCATGTTGTCCACATCCCTCTTGAAGTGCGGCACCCAGAACTGGACGCAGTACTCCAGCTGCGGCCTGACCAGTGTCGCATAGAGGGGGAGGATCACCTCCTTGGACCTGCTTGAGATGCATCTGTGGATGCATGACAAGGTGCGGTTGGCCTTCCTGACTGCATCCCCACACTGCCGGCCCATGTTCATCTTGGCATCAGTGATGACTCCAAGATCCTTTTCTGCCTCTGCTCTGATGAGAAGGGAGTTCCCCAGCCTGTAGGTATGGTGCTGGTTGTTCCTCCCCAGGTGTATCACCTTGCACTTGTCAGTGTTGAATCCCATCCTATTCTCATCCGCCCACCCCTGTAACCTGTCTAGGTCCGATTGCAGCCTATTCCTCCCTTCTAGCGTGCCCGCATCCCCCCACTTCTAAGTGTCATCAGCAAATTTGAACAGGGTGCTTTTTACCCCCTCGTCCAAGTCACTGATAAAGATGTTGAACAGTGTGGGCCTGAGGACCAAGCCCTGGGGGACCCCACTGCCCACACCCCTCCAGGTCCAAAATGACCCATCCACTACCACTCTCTGTCTTTCTCTTCCAGTTGTCACATGATATTAGTAGTGACCACTTTGCAGGCAGCTTTCAAATGAGGAAAGATGGCATTGCATCTTCCATAAGTATTTCAGCTATCTCGGTGTCCTGGCCACATGTAATTTATCCAGACTTTCTGAGATTTAAAACTTTGTGTGTGGGTGTCTGTAAGCTACACAATGGATATAAACAACAACCACAGGGATATTTAGGCAGTTGGAAGAAAATATTCTGAATGTGTATCTTCCTGCTGTGTTTAAAACACTTGATTTGATCAAAGATTGAATGCTTTGCCTCCATCTTTCAGTTTTTACAGATTTTCTACTTTGTACACAAACAGTGACTAATTAGTAAAATTGTAAAATGTTACCACATACTACATACTAAATATATTTAATTTAATGTAAATATTATAAAATATACTTTTTAAGAAAAATATTTAACGTGCATGTTAAAAAATAACTATACATTTTACCATGTTAATGATCGTAGGTCAGACTTTCAGCTGATGTAGACAAAGCTATGCTAAATCCAGTGATTGTGTTGGAATGAATACACTTTTGGTGAAACGTCGCTTCAGTGAACTTTCTCAACTGAAGCCTGTTTTTCTTCCCTGACCTGCTACCTTTTGGACCCAGAAACCATTGTTCTTTATCATGCCCTAAAAATAGAGCTAGCTGTAGAATTTTCGTGCATATGAAATTGTGACAGGTGAAAAAAATCAGTATCCATTTCTCAAGAATATAGTATTTTGGACCTATTCAACACGGGGTGGGTAATGGATTTGGTGCCCTCTGCTGTTGATATTTGCAACTGCAAGCAGGGGTTCCCACTAGGGGTTTGCGAAGGTTTGGAAGCCGATTTGATTCAGGGGAGATTCAGGGGCAAGTATTCATTTCAGATTTGGCAAAATCAGATCCAAAGCAAATACTTGCTGCTTCACACAGGCCTAGTTGCCACCTTTTCTGGCTATGAGTCGGATTGACCTAGTTTGGGTCAGAGGTGTCTCCACAACAGCAAGGGAACGCAACTGCTGCTGATGCTCTTCCCACGCCACTGCTGGAAAAATTGGTAATGGCAGCTGGGCCCTAGCACCGGCCTGTCACCCCCCCCACCCACCTCTGACCCAAAAAGGGCCAATCCAGCTGCTGAAGCCCCAGGTGCTAGAATCTCTCAGCCAGCCTGAGGCAGTATTCCCACTTGTCTCTTTGTCTGCAGCCAGGTGAGTACACTAACAAGGGAAAACTAGGAGGGAACAAGAAGTTTTGTTGCATTTTATAAATTCACTGAAGCAGGGATACTCTGTTATGCCTGGTACAACACCAAGAACAATAATGAATAGGAATTAGTAGCAGTCCTAATTAAAATTAGTGAATACAGAAGTGCCACAGAACAGATTTGTCTGGAAGGTGGGGGAATGAGTAGGTGTTGACTATGATCGTGGTTATAGAAAACGTACATCTCTCACTGCTGTAGATGTGGGTTTAGTTAGATCCTCAGAGTGTTTTACAAGAATGTGTAATCATGGGTGGATGTTCTGATGTGTACACGAGGCGAATACAGAGATTACATGAGGTTAAAGAACTAGTTCTTCCTCTTCAGTTTCTGACAAATCCAGCTGACAGGGGGAGGGTAAAGGTTTGCTGATGGAGTCAGCTATAGACCCTGGAGACAAGAGTGTAAAATATAATAGGATGAGATAATGAAGGCATATAAAGATAACAGGATTATGAATATGGGTATGTTTATGATTTCAGACAGGCGAGCTTTATAATGTGTTCAAGGGGTGTTGAATATGAGTATATTTTAAAAAGAAAAAGCTAGTTCTCATTATAAGGACCAGTGCAGTGGATAACAACTATTTGAACTCATTCTCACTAATAAGGGAGTGTTACCCTCTTTGTGCCTGCAAGAAAATTGCTTTCGAAATATAATGCTGGTTGGAAACAAATGCTTTAAGTCCTCAAAATAAATTAAGGCAAATTTTAGTAATACGGGTATGCTTATTTGTGGATAAGCATTTTTTTACTGATCTACATATTACTTACCAATAATTCTTTAGTTAATGTTCTTTAGCTTAGTGGTTTAATTAATCTTTACCCTATTGTAATGACTACTGTAGAAGAAATTTGTCAGTAAAACTCCTAGAGGCCTATTTTCATTCCAGCTAGATGATTTTTCCTTGCTTTACTTTTTCTTTTTTCAATGACATGCAAATTCACAGCTCAAAATGTATTCATCAAGCTTTATGCTCCAAGCTATAATCCCAGTCTACAGGTAAAAGAGCTCAATTAATTTTTAAGGATGTGGTAATTACCTGAAATCAAGGCAGTTTTATCCACAAAATAAAAGGTCTAGCTCCTTGCTTGCTCTTTGAAGTTTAAAATCTAAAGCAAAATGTAGAAGAAACAATTATCATCTAATAAAGGGGGGACTGAAAATAATTTTTATTATAGAGAGCGATCATTCACCAGCATCAAGAAAATCATAAGGATTTTTTTATATTTTGTCATATTCATCCAAAGCCTTATATTGCATCCGGTCAGTATCTACATGTGCATTTAATCACAGTCAATTACCATGCTGTAAGACAGTGCTGTCATGGAAAAGTACTATTCTGCTGTAAGATAGTACTTTTGCCTCACAGTGCTGTTTTACAGCAGCGTCAGTTAGTTTACTGCAGCCTAATAGTATTGCACGTGTAGATGGTGATGCTTTACTCTGCAGCTAATTAGTCTACTCCACAGTTTGGCTCACATGTAGACATGGCCAATAAGCAGCAGTGAATAAACAGCAGCCTGAGGAGGTGCTATGAAGGCAATGTAGAAGTCCTATGCCACAATATGGAGACTTTGTCACAAACTGGCCCTCCATAATTGGCAAGTTAAGTATGCTGCATATATGTGCTCCTTTGCACACAATTCATGAAGCAGGCAGATGAACCCAAAAGAAAACTGGGGGAAAGAAGAAACTGCAGGAAGAGACTTTTCTCTGCTTCAGTTTCTTAAACCATTACACAGAGGAACTAAAGGAGATAAACAACCTTGGAGGGCAATGCAGGATTAATGCTAGGTTACCACTTAAAAGTGTGTGTGTGTGTATGTAATATCAAAAAATATTGTCAGCATGACAAATAATTTATTATAGGCACAAAAGATTTAGTGATACAGGAACAGAACAGGTTGCTAATATATCTCCTGTGTTCATAGCAATATATTTTAGAAAGTATGTATCTTGGACAAAATTCTGCAAGTAGGAGCATTATTTAATCCAGGGGAAACTGCAAAATTTCCAAGACAAGATTCCATCCCAGCGCATGTGAACCTGATGTAATATACTGTAATATATCAGCTAAACATGAATTTATGTGAACTCTACATGCTGTAAGATGCTTCTTATATCTAGTCATATATTTTCATTAAAGGTATCATATTTGAGTAATATTCAGAGGCTTTGTAGTCTTTCCTGCGGGTTCCAAAAATATTCTCACTCCCTCTTTCTCTCTCTTTCTCACTAGCCTAAACACCTTTTCTTCTATTCTTTCAGCAGGAGAAACAGAGTTTGATCCCTTTGTACTGGTGAGAATAGCCAATTAGAGTTACTTGGATTACAGCTATACATCACAATGCATATATGACAAAATAGCACGTTCTAATTGATGTCCTCCTGCTATCTCATTAGGACCTGATCTAGGAAATGGTGTCTGTTAATTATATTGCATCTCTGCAGCAGCCATCTTTAATGTATGCTTGCACACCAGAAGGTCTTTAATCCTGAGGGGCTGATAACACTCCAAGATCTTTCCACAGTATTTGTCCCTGGTACCTAGTGCTGTGTTGCTACAACTCAAGAGGTACATTTTCCAGTCTGGGCTGCCACTAATGGGTCCAGCTCTGTTGGAGTAAGCCTCAGCTTGTTTGCAAGTACTAGATTGCATGCGCGGCCCATGTGCAGATTGAGCAGTGAGGAGATGGGAATTGTCATTTGGCTTTTCAAACCCTTTTTAATTTAATAAAGTGGTTTAATAAAGTATGATGATGGGCCACTGGGATTGCCTTAGCTGCAAGCTGTACATTCCTGCTATAGTATATGTGTTAATAGCCCTACTTTATGCCCTTTGCAAGGGACAGAAAAGCCCTTGGCACTCTTAGGATGTGAGTGGGACACACAATAGTGTCTTAAAAAAACACTAAGTATGCATGTACAGATTTTGATCCATTGGAAAAATTACAAAATACAGCAGTACCTGTTTGTCATTTGTCCTTCTAAATTAATAGGACAACTCATGCAAAGATTTGACTGCTGAGCCAAGTATTGCTGTGGTGCTCTGATACTCCAGAATGTATAATAAAACACTAAGTTGGGGATTTTCAATATTTGCAAAGTACTTAATTCTGCTTTTCTGAGTTTCTCCATTCTCATTCTGGATTCATTGCATTTTTAATACCAGAAGATAGAAACCTGAAGCAGTACATACTGTTGTATGTGGCATTTTATAAGCAAAATAAAAGAGAGAGAGAGAGAGAGAGAGAGAGATGTGTTGATTATTTCCAAATGGAACTTACCTTGTTAGAGGAGTGGATTTAATGTGCTGAGTTCAAATTTATTTTCTTGTCATTATTGGGAATAAAATTTGGGCCCAGTTTTTCCCTGAGTTAGAGGTGCTTATTGATTAGTTGAGCCAGTGATGTAAAAAAAATGTGTAAACAACTTATTTTAGGAACTAAAAATAGCTATGGGAAAGAATATTTGTTTTTGCTTTGGGAAAAAAAAATATTGTTTGTTTTATTTGTTTTGTTTTATTAATACTGGAATTTGATGAAAGGACTCTGGACTGATAGGGTATCAAATTACTTTTAAGGGTCAGGCTTTATCCTGACAATGTTTTCTGAATACAGGGAGACCCAAAGCCACAGTACCTAGGAGCAGGCCAGAAGAGAAACTGTGACTCAAAGGCTGTATCCAGATGAGCAGGGGCGTGTGCTTGCAGTGGCACAAATTTGCACTGTTACTTTGTGCCTCAGCACACACCCTTGCATGTGCATTTTGTTGTGGGACATATTGTCCCACTTTGAGCAAACTGCCCGTTTTCAGCTCCTCCTGTTTCCCAGCATGCTGGAGCAGCGGGGCACAGATGAAGCAGTAGAGACACGCTGGCTGGCAATTAAGGCATCTTGCTGGAGGACCAAGCCTCTGTATGTTCTGTCTGGTGCACAGTATTTTCATGTGCTCTGCATCACTTTTTTTCCTGGGTCTTTTTTATTTATTTATTTATTTTTGCTACCAGGAAATCCTGGTAGCAAATTTTGCCCCTGCGCTACAAATTTGCACTGCAGATAATATTTTACATTTCATGCACAATTTGTGGTGCCACAAATTGCACGTGCCTGCAAATTGGGATGAGGCCAAAGGGTTCAAATTTTCTTCCACTTTCCCTTGATCTTCTTGTGGAGAAAGTTATTTCACTTTTTTCATGGATTAGCTAGTTCCTTTGTCTGGTAAATTGGGGAGTAGAGTCAGGCCATTTGGTGTTGCACTCTGATATAGTCCTGTTGTCAGAAATCTTATTCCCATATGAAGCCAAGTATGAGCTATGGCTTATTCTCCTTATAAACCACATTGTAAAGGCTAGCTATTTTCTGAGGGGAGATGAAACGAGTAGAAAAATAAGTAGGCCAAGATCATTTTGCATATTTTTAACACAGTGAATTTAGGTGTATGCACCTGAGTTGCTAGGGCCTGAGACTGAGATGGGAGGTTCACTGGATGCTTAAGGTTTAGCACAGGGGTATGCAACCCCTAGTATGCATGCCAGACAGTGGCAGGCAAAAACATTTTGCTTGACATGCGCACCTCGGTGTGGATGGCAGGAGAGCTGTAATGGGCCTGATCCTTGTTCTGGCAATATAGCCCCAGACTCTTCCCTGCCATCTGCCTGGAGAAGCATGTGCATCTGCTACTAGCAACAAGCTGGGCCATAGCTCTGTGAATCCTGCTACACCTGCTTGCAGCCTCCTTGCTGCCTGCTGCGAGCAGCCTGGGCTCTATGGTGGGGAGCAGGGCCTGCCCAGAGCCCAGGCCAGCTGCAGCAGGCAGCTGGGAGGCTGCAAGCGACTGCACCAGGATCTGCAGTGCCCTGTCCCTGCTTATTGTTGGAAGTGGGTGCGAACATACCTTGGAGTGGACAACAGGAAAGTGGCTTGGCTGGGCTGGGCTGCACTGCCACAACAAGGATCGGGCCCCTTGTTCTCCCGCTGTCCACCTCTAGCACGCCAACACCTTACAAGTTGAGGTTTGCGGGTATTTTTGGCATTCTGCCCAAAAATGTTGCCAACCCCTGATTTAGTAGATCCTAAATTTGCTAAGATCCAGATATACAAAAGAGCCTTTGGGTTTGATTGTGTGGGTGTTTTCAGTGCCCAGATCGAAACAGTCAAGGAGTCTCATATTGAGAGTCCAGGACCGGAAGTGTCCAAAATCAGTGGCTGTTTTTAGAAATTTTCTCCAAAACTTCCCCAGCTGAGGGGGATGGAAGGAGTATGATTAAGTAAAAATGACAGGCAGAGCAAAAATGTTCTGGTTCATGAATTACTAATGTGGATCCTCCACTTTTGGATTCTCATACAAGGCAGTTTCATGGACAGCAGCCGTGCCAGGGAGTGATCAACATGTTTTGTCTTAAGAAATATGTACCTTATCCTCATCCCAAATTAGGGCAGTGCACACAAGTCACTTACACTAGTTAGGGGGATATACCCAATTACCAGAATGGTTGGATCTAAAGTATACCATAATTTGGCTCTCTTTCAATGTTGTTGTATTTCAAGCATTGATTGCACAAAAGGCTCAGGAATGAATGGCAGGATGCATTAGAAACAATACCTTGTCCAAGCAATTTGCAACCTGTTTAGGTTGACGTGGGCTGCCAAAGTAAAGAGAAGCTGCTTGGCTGTTTGCTGACTTTTACTTTAAAGGGTGGTGTTTCTCCACCCAGGTGAAGCTCAGCAATTGATTGGGGAAGTGGCACTTGCTGAAATAAAAGTTGCCGCAACCATCTGGAGCATCTCAGTGGTCCTGAACAGCTGGTTGCCCCCATTCTGTATACTTCCATCTAGTTAACAAAAACTCATCTTTGCAGGAAGGTAAGAAGCTTAACCCTGCAAAGTATGTGGGCTCAATTGCAGCGAGTTAGAAATAGCACATCAGTAGAGTCAGTAATTCCACGTTCACCTGCATTGAAGTCCATAGAAGCTTCATCATTGACCTTGCCGGGGGGTGCAACACTTCACTCGTACTATTTTAGTAATATTCTTAAGGATGCATGAGACAGAAGGATGAGTGATCCCTACCCTCAAAAAACAGCATTCCTAAGAACTATATCACTGTTGCATCTTTTATTTTTATAGACTGAACTAAACAAAATGCTTGTCTTTGTCTCTCTTACAGTACAGTGCATCTAGAGCTAACTGCAATAAGATTATTATGTTGTTTACCGATGGTGGTGAAGAAAGAGCACAAGAGATTTTCCACAAATACAACAAAGACAAAAAAGTAAGTGACATTTAGAAGAATTTTACTGCATGGAAGACCCAAAATTAGACCTGGAGATGATTTCTGGAAGGAAATAACTTGTAATTTTAAGACTTGAAAGTGTTGCATAATATGTCATCAGTGGCATTCTTAGTAAAGAATAGTTTTATGAAAAGACAGCAGGTTACAATTTTGCACTTCTGTCTTGCCTTCAACTTGATGATCCCAAGGCACTTTAAATATTGTAATGAATTATGAATTTTTATGGACCCAACATGGTAGGCAATTATTATTATCCCTATATTACAAGTAAAGAAGCTGAGACATAGGAAGATAAAATGGCTGGCTGAAGACCACAAAACACAAACCACCTTTCTATGGGTGAATATTCAAATGCACAGTAACTCTTCTTTCTCCCTACAAATATTCTTACAGTGGGCACTGGAACATTTTTTTTGTGACTATATTTAACATTAATACAAAATAGGCTAAAAACTATGGGAGTTTTGAACATGAAGATTTATATAATTATAAATAACTTTATGAACTACATATTTGTGCTGTTGTGACTTAGGTAAATGGTTTCCAAACCTGCCATTTCACTTCTCTTCTCACTTGGATTCATTCATTTGCGTGTGTGTCCTCACCATTAGTATTTTTTCTTTAAATAGCTTTTGGAACTCTTTATACAAGATATGTTTGAATCCAACCAGAAACATGTGGGGTAGAAGCAGGAATTGTTGCATGGCACTCTATGGCCTGTGTTTTTCAGGTCATATTAGCTGGTCTCTTCTGGCTGATAGAGAGGGATAGACAGCAAAAGAAATCCACAAATCTATGTCTTTCATAGCTAGATGTTTACACATATGATTTATTCAACGTGTGTGTGCAGATATGCATATACAGACATAGATACAGAATGAAGTACAACCATTTAATCTTTACCCAGTATATTTCAATTTTAAGCTACTATGCTCTGAAGGCTCATCAGTATTAGCAGAATGTTAAACACAACTTGATTGATGATTTCATAATAATGAAAGTAAATGTAGACAATTTAATGCCAATAAATGGAAATCGGAGTCTCAGTTCAGCAAAGGGTTCAATTATGCGCCTACCTTTAAGCACAGAAGTTATTCGGGAACGGTTACTCATCAGGTTCCAGACTATAAAAACAGGGCACACACACTGAAATTCATGGGAGAAGATTTAAAATAAACAAGTACTATTTTTTTTACTGCATCTCCATGAGATACTGACTGGTATTTATTACTGCACAGCCATTTAGTACTTGCATAACCAAGTGCTAAATGACTGTATAGTAACCAGTGTTACTGTGCAGTCATGTCCCTACACAGTTTCCGGGTGATAATGACTGCACAGTAGCATCATGTCACAGGTCATGCCCTGCAACACTACTGTGCAGTACTGATGAACTACTGTGCAGTAGTAACAAGCTATTGCTCAGTAAGGATCTTGTTGAGATGCAGCCAATGTGTAGTTTAACTTACAGAACTCACTGCTCCAGGAAATTATAGAGGTAAATAGTATAACCAGGCTCGAAAAGGCTTAGACAAGCTCATAGAGGCCATATCCATGAACAGCTATTAAATAGAATAGTTAGGGATGGTTAATGCCAAAGACAGTATGAGAGGAGATGGCTTTCACTAGCCATCCCTATACACACACTGTCCTACGGCATTGTAGACTTAGATGTGCTTAAGTGGACTAGTATGATCCAGTATGACACTGGATGTTCTTATGTCATTTTGACTTCAAGAAAAATATTCATGGCCACGTCTGGATGAGCGTGGATGTTTGGTTCCCTGGGGACAAGTAGCAGTGGTGCACCTTGTGCTGCAGCTGTTTGTCCTCAGGGAACGCCCATGCCATACACACCTTGGCACGCTACACCATTAACCCAGGGGCATCAGGGAAGTTAACCCAGGGGCATCAGGGAAGGCTGGGGTCCTAGGGGCCTCCCTGGGCTGCAACAGTGGCAATTGTACTGGGTGGAGCCCGGCTGGCAGCTGGAGCACAGTTCTGGGTGGCCTGACTACATTTTTCAGTAGTGCACTCTGCCCATGCATGCACTACTCCATTTTTTTTTTCCCTTGGGGTTTTTTGCCCCCTGGATATCCACTGTTAACTACACATTGGCTGGATATCCAGGGGTCAAAAAAACCCGCAGAAAAAAACAAAATGGAGCAGCACACGCACGGGCAGAGTGGCCTTGCAGTGCGGAGAACATCTGGTTGGTCTGTATGTGGTGCTGCAGACATGTTTGCGGCACCACATACTACATGGCTGCGCTAGTCTGGATGCGCCCCATGTATTTAAATAGTCATATGATGAATTGGAGCCCAGGAATATAGGTCTTTGTTTAATCTCAGTCGATAACTAGCTGTGTAACCTTGAGTAGCTTATTCATTTACCTGCTTTTCTCATCTGAAATATATGTGCAGTACTTCCATAACAGTGTTGTTATGAAGCTTAAGTAATATCTGTTTCAATGTCTCTGCAGTCTTGCAATGAAAGTCAATATCTAAGTGCTAAGTATTAAAAAAAAGAAAGTAAAGAAAAGAACTAGCTGTAAATGACAAGCAACACGGCAGCAACAGCTGAAGTCAGAGCCACTTGTGAGGCATACTTTGTAGTACTGCACGTATACATGGATAGTTCATGCTATTCCACCTCAGTTCTACTACTCATACTTTTAATTGTTTTAATAAGTAAATGCTATCAGCCAAAGGGAAAGTTATTAGGTAACACTCTTCTGTATACCATGTATGACTCATTACTGTGTTCCATTAACATCTCTGTCTTAAGAATGGAAATATTTTAACATATCCAGTCTGAAGACTGAAGTTGATTTATAGTGCTAAGAAATCAGTCTTACTTCTCCTGCATTGTGCTCACCTGTGTAAGTTTAAGAAAAGCAGTCAGTTCCTCAAACAAGAATGGTGAATGAGGTATAGAAAATAAGTAGACATTATTATTTCATAATGCTTTTTTAATGTCCCTGGTTCACTCTTTGTTATTGCACCCAAAGTAAATATGAGTGATAATAGCCACCTTGTAGGAACATATTTCTTTATTAAGCACATTTTTCTACTATAATTAACTGTAATGCAAGAGACTGGTATCTGATTAAATTTTATAAATCTACTGATTCAAGTCACAGTAAGTGCTTACATTCCTGCTCTTGGTCTAATAATGAACTAGGTTTCTAGATGTCATGTAGTAAAAATGCTTGTATTATTGCTTTCATCCAAGGTGACTTTGAAAGGACAGGCAATACAAAAGAAGTTTTGGCATCTCATTTAAAAAAAGATTTTTCATTTTCCTTGAATAAGCCTTGTGCTTTTCAATCAAGTAAAAATCTTTATGTTCTGGAAGGTGAATATGTGGTTACACAAAAGATTTTTTTTTTAAGTATTTCACAGCAAAGGATTGATAATATATCTCATACTGGCAATTTCATCTTTGTATACCTTAGAATACAAGTATTAACAGTACTATAGTGAAGTTTTTGGTATTTCTCAAAGTGTCTAAACATGCAAGTATTCCTCTCAAAGAATCTAAACATGTATGTATTCCTTTCTCTATCAATATGCGTTAATTGGAGTTCAGACTAGCAAATTATAAAAGTGGTATTACTGACCCATACATTCTAACATAAAATAAATCTTTTGAAGGCTGTGATTGTGAAAGAAATTATAAAACATGTCATTTCATAGCACGGTATATATTACAAACCCTCTAATTCAGCTGTATCTTATTCTGTGAGCAATACATAGAATATAATGAGGCTTAGTTATAAATTTATAGACCGCCCTAAGAAGAGGTTGGTCTATAACATGAACATAAAATATTATTAAATAAGAGTCAGGCTATCAGACATCTAGCCTCACTTTTTTCTGTATCAGTAACACTACAGAGTATCAAAATATATTGATACTGTGTAACATAAGATGGAACTAGATGGGTTTTTTTTCTTGTATAATACCAGTATATCCATGTTTAATCAATTGATCTATATTTTATGTAAGATTTATAAAAGATACATCTTTATGTTTTTCAGTATGATGGTACTGCACAGTAATATGTCCTTTATACTGGAAAATTTATGTCCTGTGAAGTGAGCAAAAAGACCATTTCAAATTTATTGTTCCTTATTTTATTGCCTCACCAATCTGAAATCACTTTACTTTTCAGATTATTACATTCTTGGTTTCAACTACTTCATCCATCAAAAGGAGCTAAATAAGTTGTGTTCCATTGGCAACACGTAGGGGGTGTACACGGGTGCATGTACACCCCCTGAGACTGGCAGTGTACCCCCTGAGATTGGCCAATGCCAACGCTGCTGGCGGTGCCTGTGGTCACCACTCACCACCCCTCCCCACCCCACCACCACCACTGCCACCGCCACCACCGTGGTCACCTGCGGAAGCTCCTTTCTCACTGCTGACATGGCCCCACCACCACCACCTATAGGCAGTCTCCATGTCCCCCCACCTCGGGAGGCATGTGACGTTCACATTGTGTCCCATTGTATAATGTGGTCAGTGCACACTTGCTTACATTGTTTAGTTCGTGTTACACCATGACCTTAGCTCAGCCTTCAAGTTGACAAGTTAAAGAAAATAATAAACAGTTAAAAAAAAATATAACCCTGGAAGTTAGAGGCTGGAAAACTGTCCTGTTAAATTACTGGTTTTCATGCATCTGAGCTGGCACACAGCTATATTTAAAATACTTTTCTGTCTCTTTAAATTGCTTAGTATGTGAAGACAAGGATTGTTCTAGAACTGACTTAATTGTTAAACTAGTTCCCTCAAAATACTAACTTTTTTATCTTCCTTTTCAAGTTTGAAATATTAATTGCTTCTCACCTCCATGTCTTTTCCCCTTTATAAACTAGGTTTTACTGTAACAGATTGCAGCACTACACTCAGGGTGCTGTTTAAAATATGGCATGTTTATGTTTATGGTGGCATTTGGGCGACACACATTAA